AGGAGGTGAGGTGTGAATTCCTCTCGGAATGCTTTGTAGTACCCTCCGTCAAAGTCATCGGGCCCGGGGGGCCTTATTCCCTTTTAGTGCTGTGATGGCCTGGAATATTTCGTCACCCCTTGATTTCAGCTGCTAAGGAATCTCTAGCTTCTGGGGATAGTGTGGGTAACTCCAAATCCCTTAGAAAATTACGAATCTGTGTCTCTTCTGTTGCTTTACCCCCTCTGAACTTGGTGAGTGGTTCTACAGTAGTTTATAGAAATCCGTAAAGACTGATGCTACATCAGCCGGGGTGGGTTTGATGGTTGCATCGGGGTGTCGAATTGAGGTAATGTGCGTGCGTCTCTGTCGGGGGTTCATGGTTCTGGCTAGCAATGTGTCCATTTTATTAGCTTTCTCGTAAAATGTTCGTCTCGTGTGAGTTATGGCTTTGCCCGTGTCGTCCAGTAACAGTGTCCGAATAGTGTGTCTCACGGAGTCCAGTCGTCGGAAAGTCTCCCTGTCTAGTTGTAGTTGGTGTGCCTGCTCTAGTGTTCGTAACTCCGAAAGGAGTCGTTCTAAGGTTTGAGATTTTAGTTTTTTCTTTCTAGTAGCCAGGCAAATAAATGCGCCCCTTATTACTGCTTTGTGGGCAGCCCATGTAGTACTTGCTTTCATATCAGGGCTATCATTCATGGCGAAATATTCCTGTACGGATTTGTTTTGTAATATCAGTATCCCTTAGTAAGGATGTGTTCATCCTCCAAGACCATGGGGTAGCTGTACATAGGTTCCCCAACGTTAAGGTCGCCTCCGCATGATCGGACCATGCTATCGAACTCATCGATGAGTTCGCGACCCGCGCCAGGCTACAATCATTGACTAGGAAGAGGTCTATCCTAGAGTATGTGCCGTGTGGCGCCGAGTAGAAGGTGTAGTCGACAACAACAGGATGATGTGCCCTCCACACGTCCATCAGGCCCGTTTTAGTAATGAACTCATGCAGCAATTTATCTTGACACCCACGCCCTTTAGACCGAGGAACTCCTCTGTGGGCGCTCCTGTCGACGGCGGGACACGGCACCTCATTGACGTGCCCTCCCGCTACTACCATTCCGGCAATGTTTGCAGCGCCATCTGTAGCTGATCCCAGTACCGCGGTTCAGGCTGGTTCGGTGAGGTGGACTGTGCCTCGTACGTAGTACTGTACGCGTGGTCACGTAATCTAAACTGTACGTGTCTAGGAAGGTGGGTCTCCTGAATAAATGCCATGTCTGATTTCATTCTTTTTAATTCGCGGAACAATAGGCGCCGCTTTGTAGGGGTGTTTAGACCCATAACATTCAATGATGTGATATGTATCACCATAATTGTGATACGGGATGCCTGCGTGTCTGCACGCCCATCTCTGCTCCCCCAATCCCCCAGCGTACAAGCTAGCGGTCTGTGGTCTCAGAGAAGTCGCCCACGCCCCACCCCATTAGTGCCACACGGTCCCACAAAAGGAAGGGAAAGAGAGGGAAGAAAGATATAGTAAGAAATAGAAGGCATGCAGAGTGCATGCCAGAAACAAGGCTAATCCAGTCTGTTCTTACCAATCGCCAGACATAATTTGGGTACATGGAGCCGCACCTCCACCGCGTCCAGCGCTTGTGAGAGACGCGGGCCCATGAGCCATGACCTTGTCACACTGCATTGCCAAATACCATCTACATAGTTTCCCCTGCACATTGGTGGTGTGCTCTAAGAATGTGCCCCACTTGGCAGGGAGGCATAATAACTTAACCCTTATTGGGTCAGTTAACCTGGAAAAACACTTCAGAGTAAATGCAGTAAAACACGTGTAACGGACCGTTTTGCACAAAAGGGGGGGAAAAAACGTTTAGGCGATCGGCCCCCTTTCCGGAGATGAAGGCACAGCTACTGCAGAACACCAAACACACGAACCGCCAATAAGTGAATGCTCCAAACACCCGAACTGCATACAAGGGAATGCTCCAAACACCCGAACTGCATACAAGGGAATGCTCCAAACACCCGAACTGCATACAAGGGAATGCTCCAAACACTCGAACTGCATACAAGGGAATGCTCCAAACACTCGAACTGCATACAAGGGAATGCTCCAAACACCCGAACTGGAACCTCACGAATAGCTGCTAGCAGACGAACAGGAAAAGCATCCAAGCAGCTTACACTCCTGGCAATCTGTCCTTAGCAGCATACAGTAAATCGGTCAGTGCAGGGCCGGCCTTAGGTAATCAGGCGCCCTGTGCGAACCCAACACGTGGTGCCCCCCCTGCAGCAAAACCCTTGCCCCTTCAACAATAGCCCTGTTCCGCCTACTACAAAACCCTTCCACAAAACCCCTGCCCCCCTTTCTACAAAAACTCTGCCTCCCTTTAATAAAACCCCTGCCACTTCTACAAAACCCCTGCTCCCCCTTTAATAAAAGCCCTGCCCACCGTTCTACAAAATTCTTTCTCCTCCTTTAACAAAACACATGCTGTCATTATATATATCTACTATACAGTAATGTACACATATCACTAAAAACCTTCCCCTCCACCAAAACCACTGCCACCCTCTACAAAAGCCCTGCACTCATTCTACATAAACCTCTGCTCTCCTTCTACATAAACCTCTGCTCCCCTTATACTAAACCCCTGCTCCTTTATACTAAACTCCTGCTCCCCTTCTACATAAGCCTCTGCTCCCTTATACTAAACCTCTGCTCCCCTTCTATTTAAACCTCTGCTCCCCTTATACTAAACCCCTGCTCCCCTTCTATATAAACCTCTGCTCCCCTTATACTAAACCCCTGCCCTTATACTAAAACCCCTGCTCCCTTATACTAAACCCCTGCTCCCCTTATACTAAACCCCCTTATACTAAACCCCTGCTCCCCTTCTACATAAACCTCTGCTCTCCTTATACTAAACCCCTGCTCCCTTATACTAAACCCCTGCTAAACTCCTGCTCCCCGTATACTAAACCCCTGCTCCCTTATACTAAACCCCTGCTCCCCTTATACTAAACTCCCTGCCCTCTTTTATACTAAACCCCCTGCCTTATACTAAACTCCTGCCCCTTATACTAAAACCCCTTAATACTAAACTCCTGCACCTTATACTAAACCCCTGCCCCCTTATACTAAACCCCAGTCCCTTATACTAAACTCCTGCTCCCTTTTACTAAACCCTGCCCCCTTATACTAAACCCGCTCCCTTATACTAAACCCCTGCCCTTATACTAAACCCCTGCGCCCTTCTACAAAACCTCCTCTGCTCCCCTTATACTAAACCCCTGCCCCCTTATACTAAACTCCTGCCTCCCTTATACTAAACTCCTGCCCCCTCTACAAACCTCCTGCCCCCTCTTGAACAAAACCCATGCCCCCTCCAAAAAATCCTTTCCTCTGCCACTTCACCAGAAATGCTTGCCCCCCCTTCTACAAAACCTCTCCCCTACACCAAAACCTCTACTCCCTATTTTACAAAACCCCTAACCCCTTCTATAAAACCTCTGCTCCTCCCTAAACCAAACCCCTTGTCACGGTTCTCACCTGATAGACAGACGGCAAGACGTGGTCGCTCTTGGAGTTCCCAACAGGGGACTTGAACCGGGGATCTTCTCAGTCCTGGTCCTGCTTTCTACCTCTGAGCCACAGCAGCTATTTACAGTGAAGACTGATTCCAGTCCTGTTCATCCTGACATGGCTACTACTCTGGGGGCTGCACCTTGACTTGGCTGTGTTTCACCTGACTCTGATCAGTCATCAGCAGGGTATATAAACCCAGCCTCGCCCTGTGCTCAGTGTCAAGTCTTTGATCCTGTTTGTTCTAGTGTTCCTGTTTCATCGCTTTGCATTATTGACCCCGGCTTCCTGACTCGTTTATTCTGACTTTTGGCATCCCTTGACTTCGGCTACTCCTCGTTGTTCCTGTCCTCTGGCATCCTTTGACCTCGGCTATCCCTCGACCATCCTGCTGGTTCAGTCCTTGCCTTCCTGCGTATTGGTACTGCATCCTGCACAGCCCCCGTGCACAGACCCACAGGCCAGGTGAATTCTTACCTGACCACCTCGGCCTGTGGCTATCTGCAAGGGTGAGCATCATATCTGCGCTACAGACTCCCAACTCAGGTAAGACCCTGACACCCCTGTCCCAAAATCCCAGCTAGAAAACCTCTGCTCCCCCTTCTACAAACCCCCCCACACACAAAAACACCTGCCACCCTTAAAAAAACAAAGAAAAATCTATTTAATAAAAAAATGCAATAGTTATAACAAGAATGAGCAGACTCACATTGAAGCTTGCTGCTCCCTGGACCCTCCTGACAGTGTCCCAGTTTGCCGACTTTGATACCAAAGCACTGACCACCTCCCTCAAACTGACTGACTGTGCGGATCCTTCCGCGAATGACTGTGGAGGCGGAGCATGCTCTTCCTCCGTGCTCCTGACCTACTTTCTCTCCCAGCCGCTCATAATTTGCAAGTCAAGTGCACAGCATTATGCACTTGACTTGCTCTGTACATGACTCAGGCCGAACTGTGAGTGACTGAGTGCGAGCTGTGTCAGCCGCCCGGCGCCCCTGTTGCCATGGCGCCCTGTGCGGCCGCACAGCTCGTACACCCCTAAGGCCGGCCCTGGGTCAGTGCCCTTGTTAGTCCAGCAGCCCACCCACAAAACACAATCAACAGCACAGCCCACCCAATAAATGGTTACTACACCTGGGTAGAGGAGAAGCTTGTCCATGTCCAGGTGTCTCACCACGGCTGTGCTGGGTACGGGTAGGCTGACTTGGTGGGGTGCTGCGTGGGCAGAGACCAGTGGCACTCTGCCCTGTTGCCAGCGCTACTGGGAGGGTAGCCTGGTTGAAGCCTGGTTGTTGGAGAGGGAGACCGACTGTCTCCCCTTTAGATACACAGTCCTGCTGCTGGAGACCGACTGTCTCCCCTTTGGTTACACAGCTCTGCTGCTGGAGACTGACTGTCTCCCCTTTAGATACACAGCCCTGCTGCTGGAGACCGACTGTCTCCCCTTTGGACACACAGCTCTGCTGCTGGAGACCGACTGTCTCCCCTTTGGCTAAACAGCCCTGTCGCTGGGGGGCAGAACCGACCGTCCCTACCCCCTGTGCTGTATGTGCAGAGACCACGGTCCCATCTGCACAGTTGTGGGGCTTACTGTCTCCCCCTGGTACATTAAGCTGCCGCTGGGGAGAGGGGGTAACAAGCTCCTCTCCCATACATACTTCCAGCCGTGGGGGAGGGAGACCGACTGTCTCTGCTCCCAATACAGAGTCCTGCTGCTGGGGAAAGGAGACTGGGCTCTCTATTCCCTGTGGACACTCTGCCGCTGGGGAATGGAGACTGGGCTCCCAATTCCCACTCCCGCTGGGGAATGGAGACTGGGCTCCCAATTCCCAAAAAATCACGCTGCCGCTGGGGAGGGAGGACACTGCTCTCCTCTCCCTGGACTTCACACTGCCTTCCCGGCATATCACTTGGCTGCTGGGGGGCAGGAACAACTACCTCTGCCCCCTGTAACTCAGCCTGTCGCTGGGGAGGGAGGACACTGCTCTCCTCTCCCTGCACTTCACACTGCCTAACCGCAGCTTCAGGGAGGTTAATTGCCGGCAAACTCCAGCTCCCAGGTGGTCTATTCATTAGTGCGGTTGTTCGGTAGATTAAATCTACCGAACAACCGGCAGAAAAGCACGAATACAGCTTTTCTGCAGGCGAAACAGTCTTTTAACAGAGGGGCCATAGTCCAGAGGCAGCAGGCGAGCAACCAGGCTTCTCCAATGCAATGTGGCGAGATTGGTCTCGTCAGAGATTGGTCTAGTCACAACACGTAACATAAATCAGAACATCCTCCCTGCATGGAGGCTCTAGTCCGGCTGTTAGTCCCAGGGTTCTGTGCATCTGCTGAGTAGGGGGTGTCGGCATACATGGTGAGGGTGGGTGGGCAGTGGAGGGGGGGGCAAACATCTCCCGAAGACACTGGTGTCGTGGTTTACAGAGTATCCCTCTGTGTGTGGTGTAGTGTCCATTGTGAATGCGGCACATGGCAGCCGTACGTAGGCGTGTCGTATTGCTATGTGTTGTTAGTAGGTGTGTTGTTTGTGTATTTCCGCATCTTCTAATTGTTGCGGTTGTTGTTTGCAATAAAGTTTTTTTTTTTGTTTTTTTCTGTTTGTCGGGGTTGTGTTCCCCCCAATGTGTGTGGCTGTTTGTTACTTGAAGTTTACTGTTTCCTTGTAACCCTGTGTCAAACTGTGTTCCGGTCTCAGGAGGGGGGAAGGAAACGGAGCGTGTGCCGGTGGGTGTAAATGTGCGGAACGGTTATCAGCCTAGCATACTCTAGCATACTACACTCTTGTTGCTATGTTAGCTCAGTGGGGTACAGGTATATGGAGTCATAGTGATACCAGTTCTTCCCTGGAGATCCAGGGTCGAGGTGAATGAGTCCCTCCAAATATTCACATTTTATAATTGTACAGTAATGCGGAATATGTTGGCACTATAAAAATGCTAATATGTAATGTATTTAGAGTGAGGCTAGCAAGGCATTTGCCTTGAGCGGCACTTTCCCCCAAAAGTGCCCTGGCAGATGCCTTGTTAGCCTTTTCTGCAGCTATATTGTAAGTCTCTTTAATTCTTTTACCATATCGACTAACATTTATCCTTGTTAGTGGTTGAAATTTGCTCACGATATTTCAGTAAGGACTTTGATGTTAACAGCTGTATTATGTGTCCTGCCCTCTTGCATTCCATGTCATTATTCTGAAAGAACTTCTTAGCACTTGTGTAACTGATATCATTCACATTGCTAAGTATAGGAATTCTTTCTCTCTATTTTTATTCATGTTTCCTCACTAACTCTTTGGCCACCTTTATGTGGTACTGAGTTCTCTCTCTTTGTGCTACAATTTCTCTCTATATACCTTCCTACAATGTTGGCTATTACAAAGCTATCACTTCCTTAAAGGGACATTATAGTGGGGGGAGAGGGGGCACATGATGGGCCAGGGACAAAAGTAGGGGGCAGTTATAAAACGTGTATATGTGTGTGTGTACACATTATATATATACAAAGTTACTAACGACCTAATAACAGCTAAATCCAAAGGCCACTACTCCATACTAATTCTTCTTGACCTCTCTGCTGCCTTTGACACTGTTGATCATGCCCTCCTTCTTCTCTTCAATCACTCGTTCTCTGTGACTCTGTCCTCTTGTGGTTTTCCTCTTATCTCTCCCAACACTCATTCAGTGTCTCTGTAATGATATTGATGTTACAAAGTTTTGGAGTCCAGTAGCCAGATCAGCAATGTTTTCTGCCAGAGGTAGCCACTCGTTACCCAGGTGGTTGAGCCCCTGAGCCTTGAGTGGCCTTCTGGTCTTAAGCAGAGATGGGAGACTGGAACAGAAAGATGATAATCGTAGTGAGGCAAGCCGAGGTCAGTGGGAAGGAGAAGCAGCAAAGTCAAAACAGTCCAAATTCAGCAACAGGAAGGAGAAACAGGAACACGCTGGATTAGAGAGTACAGGAACCACAATAATCTGGCAAAGGTACAGAGACAGGAAGTGGCTTTTATAGGCCAAGGACCAGACACCTGACCAGACACAGCTGAAGTGAGTTGTCACTGATAACCTTGACTCTACAAACAATAGTATCAGATCTCAGGTAAATTTGCAAAAGGCAGGCTGGTGTACTGGTAAGGAAAAGGTTTAGCACCATGTAAACCAGGGTTCGAAACCCAGCAGAGTCAGTTCCTCACATTACCTCCACCTCTACAGGCGCAGCCTCTGGATGCCCTATTTCCTGGTTTAGCAGGGTACTGTGCATGGAAAGACTGAAGAAGATCAGGAGCATGAATATTGTCTACTGGTTCCCACGATCTATCCTCCTCACCATAGCCTTTCCAATGAACCAAGTATTGAAGCTTGTTGCGGAAGATCCTGGAGTCAAGAATTTTTTCCACCTCGTATTCATCTTCACCATCCACGAGGACTGGTGGTGGGGCAGGCAAGGCTCGACCAGGGAAAGTATTTTCATGAAAAGGTTTAAGCAGTGCCACGTGAAACACCGGATGTATTTTCATGGAATCCGGAAGTTGCAGACGGAAGGTGACTGCATTGATCTGAGCGATTATCTTAAAAGGTCCCATGAACTTTTGACCCAATTTATGAGAAGGAATCCTAAGCTTAAGATTCTTTGTTGACAGCCAAACCTTGTCACCAACATGATAAACTGGGGCCTCCTTTCTGTGCCTATCAGCAGCTCTTTTGTAACATTCCTGAGCCTCCGAAAGAGTCTCCTTCAACAGTTCTTGGGAATCTCGTAAGGCGGTTAGCCGGTCAGTGACTGCAGGAATGGGAGTAGTAATTGGGAGACTCACTAGAAAGGTTGGATGGTAACCATAATTGGCAAAAAATGGGCTCAGAGAAGTGGAGCAGTGTTGGGCATTGTTATAGGCAAACTCCGCCGTGGGTAGAAAATCCAGCCAGTCATCCTGCAGGTAACTAATATAGCACCGCAAATATTGTTCTAAAGTCTGGTTGGTTCGCTCAGTCTGTCCATTACTTTGTGGATGAAAAGCTGAAGACAGATTTACATTAATACCTAGAATAGAACAAAAATATTTCCAAAAATGAGATGTAAACTGCACTCCCCTGTCAGAAATTACTTCATCAGGCACTCCATGCAAGCGAAATATTTCCCGAATAACAAGGTCAGCAGTCTGTTTAGCTGAAGGGAGACCACGAGCTGGTATGAAATGACTCATCTTGGTTAACCGGTCCACAACAACAAGAATAGTAGTGTGTTCCTTAGAGGGAGGTAGTTCCACAATAAAGTCCATGGATATAGATCCCCAGGGACGATGAGGAATCGGAAGAGGCTGAAGCAAGCCAACAGGGGATGAGCGAGGAGTCTTATGTCTGGCACATACATCACAAGAGGACACATACTTCTTAACATCCTCATAATATTTAGGCCACCAAAAGGATCGGGTAAGTAGTTCTTGTGTCTTTCGGATTCCTGGATGACCTGCTGGTTTAGAGTCATGGTAGAGGCGTAAAACGTCCAGTCGCACTGATTCTGGAACAAACAGACGTTGTTGAAAAATCCAAAACCCATTAAGCATGGTCATATGAAGATCACGAGGAGGATCACGAAAAACTGGATCTTTAGAGTAGCCCTTTTTAATGCGAGACATTAGATCAGAAGGAAAGGTAACTCCTAAAAATCTGCTCTCCGGCAAGATGGTGGCCTTGGTTACTGTAGTATGGAGGGGGTCAGCTATCCTAGACAAGGCATCCGCCTTGCCATTTCTGGAACCAGGGCGGTATGAAATAAAAAAATTAAACCTTGAGAAAAATAGGGACCAGCGTGCTTGTCTGGCTGACAGTCTCTTAGCGGATTGGATACATTCCAGATTTTTGTGATCTGTGAGGACAGTAATTGGATGGGTGGCTCCCTCCAAGAGATGTCTCCATTCGGTGAAGGCAGCTTTTATAGCCAAAAGTTCTTTATTCCCTATGTCATAATTTCTTTCTGCTGGTAACATCTGGCGGGAATAGAAGGCACATGGATGTAACAACATCTTAGGTCCAGTCCTTTGAGATAGTATAGCCCCAACAGCTGAATCAGAAGCATCTACCTCTACAGTAAATGGCAATTCTGGCTGAGGATGTACCAAGATAGGAGCAGATGTAAACAGAGTCTTTAATCTGGAAAATGCAGTGTCAGCCTTATTGGACCACTGAAAAGGAGTCCCTTTACGTGTAAGTTCAGTGATCGGTGTAATAACGGCAGAGAAATTCTTAATGAAACGCCTGTAAAAATTGGCAAACCCCACAAATCTCTGTATATCTTTTTCATTCTTGGGGATGGGCCAGTCCAGCACAGCTTTAATTTTACTTGCGTCCATACTTAAACCTTTAGGAGTTATTACATACCCCAGGAACTGAATTTCTGTTTGTTCAAACTCACATTTTTCCAGTTTAATGTATAGGTGGTGGGTACGAAGGCGCTCAAGAACAATGCAGACCTGTTTTCTGTGATTTTCAAGATTATCAGAAAATATCAGGATATCATCCAAATATGCCACAACAAACTGATCCAGGAGATCCCGTAGTACATCATTGATTAGATGCTGAAAAGTTGCAGGGGCATTACAAAGCCCAAATGGCATTACTAGATATTCGTAATGTCCGTACCTGGTTCTGAAAGCTGTTTTCCATTCATCATTTGGTCTTATGCGAACCAGATTATATGCCCCCCGTAGATCAAGCTTCGTAAATATTT